AGATCTAAAGCTACCTAGGGATGGCAGTGATGGTTATGAAAGGGGATTATATTCCTAAATTATATTTTACTATTAATAATAGTAATAATAGTTAACATTTATTATTTTCTATATGAAGGGTACAATGCTAAACACTTTACATGTATGTACTATAACCCTCAGAATAACCCTACTGCAGGTAAAATGAATATTCACATTTTATAGATGAGGACCCTGAAGCTCAGAGACACAGTAAGTGGTGGATTCAGGATGTCATGGAACCCCCCAGGAATTGAGCTTTTTAAAATAAAGGCCAGGGACAGGAAATGAATCTGCATACTTAGCCAAACATGTTAAGAATGTGAAATAACTCACTCCTAGTTTTCACAGTGTTTCAGAGATTAACTAAATAATCTTCAGAAGAATCCAATCCAAGCGTGCAATTCTTTGCATTCAGCACATACACTTGCTAAAAAAAAGTTAGCATTCCTTGCAAGAAATGCTTTTATTTTACACCATCCCTACTCCTCATAATGACCTTTCTTGATGTCTTTCCAAGGACTGTATTAGAATAAACCACTTACCCCCAAGTAAGTTGTCTATTTACCAACTATGACAGGAAAAGAGAAAGTGGCCCATAGCCAGTGTCAAATAGACATTGCTGTTCTGTCTCACGAAGATTATGAAGCAACCTAGAGCTTTTAGGTTTCTGGGTTTCGCTATGTTTTGCTATCAATGCACAAACTCTCCGTATCATCAACTCTCCTGTGTCCTATGCAAATGCAGAAGAAATTGGCCTTCACAGAGGCCTCAGAGGCCTCAAGAAGATATATTTGAACCTTTCCTCTTCTTTTCTGCTTCCTCCTCCTGCTCTTAACTACAAAGTTATGTGATTTGCCTTAAAGGATTTACAATAGGGCACAGGATCAAGAAACAATGGACCAGATGTGTGGGTCTAAGATAAGCCTGTATTTACATAAAGAGATGGGATTAAGATTTAGAGGTTCTTAATCTGGGGTCCATGGACCCTGAGTGTTCACAGACAGATTTGGGGGGTGCGGTATGGCCTCTAAAACAGGCGTCAGTAAACTTTTTCTTAAAGGACCACGTAGTAACTACCTCAGATTTTGCAGGCCATATGGTCTCTGTTGCAAATACTTCTCTCTACTGTTTTGGTGCAAAAACAGCTACCAACAATACACAGATGAATGGGCAAGCCTGTGTTCCAATAAAACTTTATTTACAAATATAAGCAGCTGGCCAGCAGGCTCTAAATTGTATGCAAATTCCATGTGTATATATGCATAATTATTTTTGTTGTTGTCATTAGATCCATAGTTTTCTGTACCTCTTAAAAATAGGTTCAAAATCCAAGTGGTTAAGAACAACTGGTCCAAATGGTCTCCAAACACCTCTAAGCTTAGACATTTCAGCGTTCTATTATATAATTCTACGTGTCGTTTAAGTTAACAATCTCTTAGGGATACTTTCTGCTCAGTAGGCTCTTTTGGTGGGTTTTGCTGTGAATTATTAAGTGGACAATAACTACTGCCTGTTGAGAAGGAAACATGGGTTGCATTACCATTCAACCTTCCTTTGTTTACCTGGTCAGATGATACTGGCTAAAACACAATACATTCCAGATGGGAATATAGCAGCTCAGTCCTGCACCAGATAGTCTGAGATTTCCTGAGGCTTTTTCCTCCTACCGGAGACCACTTTCTGTGTTCCACTGAAGACTTCTCCACAGAAAGAACTCACTTGTCCTGAGCACACCAATGTGGAGTTTGGATTCCTGGAGTCAGCCAGGTCTGCCCAGGTAGGGTGTGGAGGGGAGGGATGCTGCTGGATGTGTTTGATTCATGCATCTCTGCATCTGTTCAGGGACCCTCTTTCTCCCAAGGATGCCCTAGCCTCATGAATCAGAGCATTTTATTCATTGCCTGTGACTACACCAACATACACCTTTACTCTGCCTCCCTCCAGAGGTCTTGCCTTCCCCTAAGTAGAATCTCTGGGTAGGAATTGCTAATTTTATTCCATTGTGCCCACCACAGAGCCTGGCACCATGCTTTGCACATATATGACAGGAAAAATAAAGAACTAAAGAAACTACAGAAGTCATTTTTTAGATTAGTAGCATTGAGATCCCTGAAAGCTACAGCCAGTTTTAAATTCTTGCATCACTTTTGAAAATCCAAATAAGGGTTGTCCAATCAACTTGAATAACAAACAGGATCCAGTGCTTTAAATTGTAGGAAAAAGAACAACAGGGAAGTACAAATACTGTGAATCATAATGTGGATGCATTCACATTCTAGGTTTTTCTGAGAATGGAGAATTGCATATGGGGAAGAGGTAGGAGAAAGAAATAGAAGATGAGGAAGAAACTGGAAGAGAATGAAACCAGGGCAACAAAGAGACAAAGAGGAATACAGGCGAAAGGATGAGTGAGTCTGTATGCTAACCAACTACTGCTGGGTTGAAATTCAGTGTCATTACCATGTAGCTATTTCTCACAGCAAGTGACCCCCAAAGAAGGAAATAAACCAGCAAATGAAAATAACAGGAGTATAAATCATTTAGCCAGTACTTAGGGAGACGTTATTCCATATTAGATTCCTGTATACATCACATCAGGATTAGTGCTAACTCTCTGAAATGAAACACCAATAAGAGGACCGCATGGTGCTGACTGTACCCCCAACTAATATTTCAGTCCAGCTTTAATTATCATGTTCATCTGGCAGCAGCATGGTGCCTGCAAATAGAAATGGGTCATGTGAGTCCTGGGTTCTTGTCCTGGAATACCATTATATGACCTTGGTGAGCCAAGCTCTGTGCCTCAGTTTCCTCATTTGTTAAATGTAAATAAGAATTCCCTGCTCTGCTTATTTCACAGGGGTGTTAGGAGGATGCAAAGTAGAAAAAAATACACACACACACACACACACACACACACGCGCACGCACACACACATATGCTTGGATAAGTATAAAATGCCAGATAAATGTAAAATTGACCTTATTCTCTTCCCTTAACAAGGTAGTGGGTAGGCGGGGGGTGGGGACCATTGCATTTTGCACAGAAGGCTTGGTGACTCAATGAAGTGTCTTTTTTCTCCCCCAGTAATATCTGGTCTGGGATTATTACTGCTTTCTCGACGTTTTTAGACATACTTTTCTCCTTCAGAAATGCCAAAGGTGAAAAATACTATTCCACTGCTATAATTTGTCACCCTCGCTGCCTGAGCAAGACGTGCATAGACAGTTTAGTAATTAAGCTTTTCAACACTGCATCATAAAGTTTTATTCCAGCAAAGGCTATATTTATCAGCTAACAAGTATTAAATCACCCCACTGCTCAAGCCGTTTCTCACTTGAATACGCACCTTTCAAAACAGAACAGCTTTCCTTGGCTGGCTTGATTAATGAAAGTTCTTGTTTAGAAATATTGTGATGATGTGTGGTCCTGTGGGGCTGACATAAATACACCTTGGCAACTGTTCCAAACAGTGCGGACCCCTGTCTCCCAGGGGAGTTTGATACCTTAGCCCTGGGTCTTTCAGAGCATCCTGGCCATCTGAGTTTCATGGCCCTCTGGGACAGCTTCCAGCAGGAGATATCCCTATATCCATTTCATTGCTAAAGGGAAAAGGTAAATGAAAATTTAAATGTGAAATGAGTTTTTAAAATGATTAAAACAGAAAAGTGACAACGATCTCCATTAAAAGGGGTTGAGTTTTTTTTCACATTGCTGTAGCCTTATCAAAACGGATGCAGAATTATTAGGGAAACACACTTAGAATGAATAGATATTAAAAGTCATTGGTAATGACTTAGAAGAGTACTTTCTTCCTGCAACCCACCCTGCCTTAAGAAATCTCTTTTTTCCCTCCTTTGGAGGACATAAATTCATAAAACAAATATAGCATTGTTCTCAAAGGTTCAAGATGCTTTCAGTCAAATGGTTCCAGAATTATAGTTGTGAAACAAAATAGTTACTACATTTGAATGATTTTTCTACCATGTTATAAGGGTAAAATAAAAATAAAGACAAATGTTTGTCAAACATGGGCCAAGATGATGAAAAAAATCACCATTTTATAGAACTGCATTAATTTCCTTCTTTTGTCCCTGCTTTCAAAATAAGTGACATTAATCACAGTGGGCACTTAAGTTTTTCACCAATTTATTGCTAAAAGCAAACGTACAATATAATATGCTGTAGGATCAGCAAACCCACTTTGCAGATATGTAAGCAAGTTCTGCGTATGCATGGCAGGGAGGATGTAAGCATGAAACTTTAAACGTTACCAAGATAAGAAATCTTTTGTTTGAACTCTTCTTAGCTTGAGAGGCTGCAATGATTTCTTTCCTTTCAAGATGATAAAACAGAACTCATTATTTTGCTTTTCAAATCAGCAACAGGTAGGTAGCTTGTTTGGAAGACTGAGGATCAATTTCTTTCCAGCCAGTAAGTCATGGGGTTAAGTCACAGAAACATGTGAGTGACATGCTGAACCACCAAGTGGGCAAATATTGAACTATTTTAAGTGCATCTATTTTCTGGTTCAGTAAATTTTTTGCTGTGTTAAATTCATTAAACTTGACACAGTCTAAATGCCACAGCACACACTGGAAAGCCCATAAAGGTAACAGCACCAGCCATAAAAGATAGCAAAGAGTAAAGATCGATATATTTTCTCTCAATTTCTATTTAATTTTTATCTTTTTTGTATTAAGACTGGAATTTGTTTTAAGGTCAAAAAGTATGGTGTGACTTGGAAAGTCAAGTTGACTCTTCTTATTTGCTGAAAAATCTGAAGAGAGGTTTCTTTGTCAGTCAAGTTGCCCTCCAAACTAAGACGATGACATCTATGACCTACAATTCAGGATCATTTAATAACTTGGGAAATAAACGAAAAATAAAAATTACATGCTGTTATCTACAGTCTGGAGAAATCTTGTACTTCAGTAATTTGCAAAATTATTAATTCAAGGACACACTTGAAGCCTTAAGATGAGGCCTTGATAATGTGATTATTCTTTATTCAGAATTGAAATTTTCATAAAGATAATAAAGATTTTGGTAGATGAACTGTTATTGTGATTTAGCATAATTTGGGGGGAGGGTCATTTGTTATTTTTAAGAAAACTTTTCTTCCAACAAGGAGTAGCCATGGCAATTCAGAAAAGTGAAGAAAGATATAAGGTATGAGGAATTTCTATTTTAGCATGGGTTGTAACTACTGAAATTATAAAATTGATTTTATACTCCATATGAAAAATGATAATAAGATCAATTTTCCAGTAATTTCTCTCAACAAAAGGGAAAAACAAATCAATAGCAGAAAATTGTGAAAACAAAAACCCAAAGCACATGTAGGGAATAAGGATACAGGTACTAAATGTGATTCTTTAAAGCTTCTAGAACACATAGGGCAGAAGTGATGCAGCCATCAAAATTGGACTGAGTAAATCCATCCCCTCCACACACAAGGAAAGGTTTGAGATGAAGTGTCATTTGGCCAGGACAGTTGGCGGCAGCATTTGTAACCTGAAAAAGTAAAAAAAGGATTGCAATTCACATCCTGTGCTTTATGGTGCTGTCATGGCAACACCCACCTGGGGAAGGCTTCTCTACCTAGAAAAATCAAGATTTCTCACAAGGAGCACCGGGGGGGAAAAAACCCCAAACCCCATAAACTCCTCCTCTGGCCTAAGTGTTTACATTTACATTTATATTTTTAAATGTTTAAATTGTTGATTATTAGATAAGATAATCAGAAGTGTGTTGAACTTCAAAATTAGTAGGTGCTGTGGCCTGAATATTTATCCTCCTAAAATTTGTAGGTTGAAATCCTAACCCTCAAGGTGATGGTATTAGAAGGTGGGGCCTTCTGGGAGGGGATTTGGTCATGAAGGCTAAGTCCTCAAGAATGGAATTATTATAAAACAGGCCCTTTATAAAACAGGCCCAAGGGAGCTTGTTGGCCCCTTCGATGTCAGAACACAGCCAGAAGGTGCCACCTATGAGAAAGTGGGCCCTCACCGGACACTTAATATACTGGTGCCTTGACCTTAAACTTCCCACCCTCCAGAACCATGAGAAATAAATTTCTGTTGTTTATAAGCTACCTAGTTTATGGTATTTTGCTATAGCAGCCTGGACAAAGATACCCCTGTTCACTTCCCCATCCCTCCCTCCCTCCCTCTCTCCCTCTCTCCCTTCCTCCCTTCCTTATATACATTCCCTCATTTTTCCCTTCCTCACATATGTCCTGAGCACTGTTCTGGGCCAGGCCCTATGCTCAGCACAGGAGCAGCAGAATCTTAAAATTTCATAGCCCTGTCCTCAAGGAGCTCTCAGTCCTTAGAGTAAGACTGACCCCAAAGCAAAAAATGGCTCCCTTCTGTTATTTACTGAGCATCTCCCATGTGCCAGAATGTGTTCCATTTGCAGACTACATTTTAGGAAGAAATGAATTCACTGCAGTCAATCCATGTAGGGGACTGTCTACAGAGTTTGATGGATGCACAGAGTTTGCCAGTCAAGGAAACAAGGGAAGGTCATTCTAAGGAGAAAGGGTGGCATGTGTAAGTGCCCAGAATCTGTGGGCAGGGGTGGGGTGCTGGGGGAAAGAGGGGCAGAGAGAGAGAGAAAGAAAAGTGTGCTTAGGAAACTGTGGGGCAGGTCATACATACATATGTGTGTATGTGTGTGTGTGTTGGGGAAAGGGGCTGTCTAGGGGAAGGGACATGGCAGAGCAGTAAGATAAGTGGAATATAGTGTCTCAAATTTTTAAATAAATAAAAAATGTCTATTGAAAAGGTAGAACTTATTAATACTACTTATGAGCCAAAAGGGGGAGAATCAGCTGCAGTCTGGGACTTACTTTACCAGGTTTATAATATTTAAAATTATGAAAAAGGCATAGAGATTATTTTCTGGAAAAAATATTCTCAATTTTGAATGGATGATGCTGATAAACATTCACAGGGAGGAGAATGAGTGGGAGGTGAATGTAGTTATCTAGGACACTGAGATGGTTTGGCCACTAAAGCACCAAAAACTCCCTAAAAAACCCCAAAAGAAACAAACTTATTATAATGGCAATGTCACTTGGGACCGCTTTATTGCACAATCTCAGGGGGCGCTATTCACGTGGACTATAACATGACAGTTCTAGGCTTCCCTGCACAGTGTTTTCGTGGAGAGCAATAAGGTAAGCCCCATGAGGATTTGCTTGTTTAAAAATCAGGGTAAGGCCGGGCGCAGTGGCTCACACCTGTAATCCTAGCACTTTAGGAGGCCGAGGCAGGTGGATTGTTTGAGCTCAGGAGTTCGAGACCAGCCTGAGCAAGAGCGAGACTCCGTCTCTACTAAAAATAGAAAGAAATTAATCGGACAACTAAAAATATATAGAAAAAATTAGCCGGGCATGGTGGCGCATGCCTGAAGTCCCAGCTACTCGGGAGGCTGAGGCAGGAGGATCGCTTGAGCCCAGGAGTTTGAGGTTGCTGTGAGCTAGGATGATGCCACGGCACTCTAGGCCAGGCAACACAGTGAGACTCTGTCTCAAAAAAAAAAAAAAAATCAGGGGAAAAAAATCAAGAAATGTGACAAATGCTATTTGGATTACTGTGCTAAGATCTTTGTTCTAGATAGGCTGATTTGGTATATTCCCTTACAGTCTTTTAAAAGTAGAAAAATGCATAGATATGTTTTAGGTATATGCTATATTTTGCTTTTAAAAAAGAGGTGGTACTATTATTTCCTTGTTGAACATTTAAAGATATGGACCTCCAGGACCTGTGTCACTCAGATACAAGCATGGAATGTTGAATATCCTTTCACTTTTCTGGAGGCCACTTTACAGCTACGTCATCTGTCATAGACATAGCCGATAATCTTGAAATCAGCAGATAGGATCTTTGAGTGGCTAAAATAGACAACACATAGTGCAGTCACTGAAGTACAGGCTTGGATGTTCAATCAGAGCTTTTAAACCTGTGCTTCAGATAGAATTTTAACAAGCTGGATTACTTGATTTGTCAGTAAAACACTAAGGGAGGAAGAAAACTACTAGGTTCCTAGGTATTAGTGATTTCAGAAAGTGACAACTGATAGTCTGAAAGCAACGGATGCTACATAAAAACTCAAAAACCAGACAGGACTGGGAAGAAGCCTGGCAGTCTGGGGCCATTTAATGGTGGTGGTGGTGGGGGAGGTGGAGGCAAATAACTTTCTGGCTGTTAATAGGCCCTGAAGGCATCAGCTGTTAGTCGTCCTGCAATCATTATTGCTCACAACGATGGCCCCAGTTTTCAAGAAGCAATTCTAATATGCATAAAGTATTCATTGCTAGCATTTCTTGAGTGTTCACGGCATACCAAATGCTTTACATGAACACCCTATTTAATTCACACAGCAACTCTAGGAGGTGGTTACTGTTATTCTCATTTTATAGATGAGAAAGTTGAGGCTCAGAAAGATTGTTTCCTGACTAAAGACAGAAAGCTAGTAGATGAAGCAACAGGGATTGGAACAGAGCAGGCTGACTCCAGAACTCACACTTACAACACTTTTAGAAACATTTCCATAAAGACTCGATTTAAGTAAGACAAAACAAAAATGTTTGATTAGTCACTTAGATTTAGGCACTTGGAAAATTCACATAAATGTAATAACCCATTCATATATATTCATATATATACACACATACATACATGTGTGTCTGTCTATGCATAATTTTTAAAACAAAACAAAAATGTTTGATTAGTCACTTAGATTTAGGCACTTGGAAAATTCACATAAATGTAATAACCCATTCATATATATTCATATATATACACACATACATACATGTGTGTCTGTCTATGCATAATTTTTAAAACAAAACAAAAATGTTTGATAGTTGTTTAGCTTTAGGCATCTGCAAAATTCATATAAATGGGACAATTTATTCACACATATTCACATACACACACACACATATGTGTGTCTATCTGTGTGTCTATGTGTATCTCATATGTGTGTCTATCTCTATACACACAGGTGTGTCTACACTCATACATATGTATGTATGAGTGTAATTTACACTCATACATACATACATAAATCTCCATTTGTGGTAAAGTTTTGATACATTTGAGTTGGCATCCTTATACAGATAAACTGTGGCACTATTAAACATTATACAAGTATTAACCAGGAAGGAGCTTAAGAAAAAAAGTTCTGTCCAGTCATGAGCTGGTAATTTATCGTTGCTGTGTAATTTAATTTGATGAGTGGTAAATGCCAGATGCCAGATCACATGGCTGGAAAACTGGGCCACTGATTAGCCAGTCGGCAGTTTGGATGAAATCAATCTCACTGCATTTAGGTGGAATCGCCCATTTTGCAATTACCCAATGAGGAAAATATGAAAACATGGAGTGTGTGTTGGCGAGCTCCTTTACCCATGTGAAGTAAAGAGCCCTGCAGTGGAGAAGCACATAATTGTCAAAGCCACAATCTCACAATAATGCAGCCTTTGGCTACACTTTCAGCCACAGTGAGGAACCACAGCTCAATGACTGTGTTTAAGAAAGATGTCAGGGCTGAAATAACCCCTTGGAAATCCAGGTTGCTTTGCCTCACATGTGTGCAAGGGCTGGTCAGAATGAACTCCTGTCTGCTCTAGAGTAGCTCATACAGTGTTTCTATAAACCTAGGTGATGACTCAACTGGACATACAAATCAAAGCAGAAAAAGTGATTTTATTTCTAAGCAATTTAAATCTCCGCAAATGTGTTTTGTGATTTTTTTTCCACCTGCAGAATAAAACATAACTCCTAAATCCCACATGGAGAGCCCTTCATAACCAGGATCTTACCTCCATCTAAATGTCACCTGCTGCCACTTCCTTACCTTTGTCACACATCCTATCTACCTTCAAACCCAGGGTCTTCAAACACACCTTTCTTTGTTGTGCTTCTGTGGCTCTGAACAAGCCATTCTGCTGGGTGATGTTACATCATTCCCCCTCTGTTCTGCCAAGTAAATTGCTTATCCTTCAAGACAACAGTACAGATGTCACCTGCTCTGAGGTCTGCTTGCTCTGCCAGGCAGGGTGTCATTGAGCATGTTATTTATGCCTATTATGTTACTGGCTATTTTGCACTGTAATGATACCCATGTGTCCCTTTCTAGACTGCATGCTCCGAAGAGTAGGGACTGTGATTCACTGATCTTTGTATTCAAGGCTGAGAACAGTGCCTAGCCCACATTCAGGTGTGCAATAGATATTTATTGAGTTAAAAAGAGACAGTATCGTACACAGTTGATCAAACGAAGGACTTTGCAGGGAACCATCTACACAAAAAGTGTTATTCAGAGGTTCTTGTAGAGCTGGACAGCTCAAACGGAAGAGCTATTGTATTTAGAAGGCTCTCAATAATGATGAAGGAGGAGCTGTTCTCTTGTCTCTGTGAACTGCTTTAAGTGAATGTCTTGTGTCATATATTAAGTTGAACCCACACAAACTTGCTGATTCCATAGGTCAAAATGATAAA